GCCACCTTCGCTGCTTCCCTGAGACGCACGTGCACACTTTCCTGTTAACCCATCTGAGTGCAGGGACCCCCTGCCTCCTCCGCACAGCACCTCCGGCCCTGGGGGAGCGGGCTCAGCCCTTACCCCTCAGCCTCACCAGGCTCCGGCCGCGTGCCACCTGCCACCCAGCCCGGCCGGCCGGCCCCACGCGCCCCACCGCCCGCCTCTCTCTCGGCCCTGACGCCCCTGCACGCTGTTGGCTGAACGCTGCTTCGTCAGCACCTGAGACAGGGAACCAACCTTTGGCGACACCTTTGGGAGCCAGCTTCTTCAGCCTCTTTACTTATTTTTAAAAAATACGTATTTTATTGATTTTTTACAGAGAGGAGGGGAGAGGGATAGAGAGCCAGAAACATCGATGAAAGAGAAACATCGATCAGCCGCCTCCTGCACACCCCCCACTGGGGATGTGCCCACAACCCAGGTACATGCCCTTGATCGGAATCGAACCTGGGACCCTTGAGTCCACAGGCCGACGCTCTATCCACTGAGCCACACCGGTTAGGGCTACTTATTTTTTAAAATGTATTTTTATTGGTTTCAGAGAGGAAGGGAAAGGGAGACATCCATGATGAGAGAATCATGGCCCAGCTGCCTCCTGCACGCCCCATGCTGGGATCGAGCCTGCAACCTGGACCTGGGCCCTGACCAGGAATCGACCCGTGACCTCCTGGTTCCTAGGCGACGCTCAGCCCCGAGCCAGCGGCCGGGCCCTCCTGCCTCTTGGGAGAGTCCCCGCGAGCTGTGCCGCTCACAGCACGGGCGTGACTAGAGATCCAGGCTGACTTTTTTCCAGAAAAGACAACATGTTCTTGTTTTGTTTTGCTTTGTTTTGTTAATCCTCACCAGGGGATGCTTTTCAGAGAGTGGAAGAGGGGGAGGGTGGGGGTGGGACAGAGGGGGTGAGGAAGGGGGGGATAGAGAGGGAGGAAGGAGGGGGGAGAGAGGGAGAGGTGTGAGACAGACACATTGATTGGTTACCTCCTGCTTGTGCCCTAACCTAGGGCGGGGAGCGAACCCGCACCCAGGTAGGTGCCCTTGACCGGGAATCGAACTCGTGACCCTTTGGTGCGCGAGCCGGCGCTCTAACAGTCCGCACTCTGCCTGACAGGCTGAAGGGCGCTCGGACCAGGAGGCGTGGGCGAGATGGGGTGGGGGGACAGCCCTGGGGTTAGGGTGCTCAGCATGGCAGCCCCATCTGCACCGTGAAAGGGGGGGCGGAGCAGCGCCCCGGGGGCCCCTCAGGGCCCTCACGCTGGACCCCGAGTCCCAGGGGGCAGTGAGCGCACCTCTTGGGCCTGAGTTAAGACCCATTTGGGCTTTAAACAGAGCATGTTCCTGCCAGCGAGCCCGGGCCCGAGGGGTCGGCGACGCTCCTGGGACAGGGCCCAGAGCCAAGCAGCACACCCCGTGGGTGACGGACAGCGGGGACGAGCGCGGACAGCGGGGACGAGCGCGAAGGGGCCGCCCCCACGTGCGCCCTCCTCCTCTCGGTGAACCTGCGGGACTGGTCGGGGCTCCTGCCAGAGAGGGGTAGAGGCCCCCCCCCGCCAGGCCAGTGCTGCGCAGTGGTGAGCGCGCTCCCTGTGCACCAAAGGGTCCAGTTCCATTTCCCATCGAGGCTGCGCACCTGGTTGCAGGTTTGATCCCTGGCCCCGTCAGGGCTCACGCAGGAGGCAACCAATCGATGTCTCTGACGTCGGCATTTCTCTCCCCTCCCCTCCTCTCTCAGCACC